TGGGGTGGGTGCTTGCGATGATATATGGTTGTTGCAACCCCCGGTGTATGCTTCCCTCCTCGCGGGTCATTAATTGTCCACAAAAGCAGTCATTTTTTATGTGCTCCGTGTTAACGCGCTTCCTCCCTAATTTAATGCTCATCATTCTTCTTTTGATGTCGCCGCCAGCATCACATTATAAATTATGTTTGCTCATGCCGCTGTACTCGCTGTCCACACTCTGTTAATTTCGCACAGCAAGTGTGAATTTATGGCATTCGCTTTGGTAGTAGGCTTAGTGACAACTTGCCGCCTTCGCATGATCACTAAACATAATGTCCAGTACTTTTGCCGCTCATGTTGTTGCATCGATTTCTGTTTTATGGCACGAATTTCGTCCTACTTTTCTACTTTTACGAGGAAGTTTCCCGCTAAGTTTTAACCCAGACGCCTCATCGCATTTTAATATTCCTGGTATGAAAAGAAATAATTTCGTATAAAGTCAAAATAATGATTGGTGCACATAGCGATTTTCATGCAGGTCATCAACCTTGTGACCGTGTCATTCCACTACGAGGTCACCCACTCTTCCTCACACTGCACTCCACTAACTCTCCTTTTTGCGCTCCGTGGATTGATTTTTTGGCATCTACTCGTGCAGTGGGCACAGACCTATTATTTTTGCACTGTAGAGCTAGCCAGAAAACCACCTGTTAGTTGTCAAATCTTTTTTTTCTTACATCTTTGCTATCAAATCTTGTCATATAATAAAACGGAGAGGGGAGGCACCTGGAGATGACGGAGGGGAAAGTCAAGGAATTAGCCTGGTGTATTTTCAACTCACCATGTAAGGCACGAGTGTGCAACCAGCGGTCCGCGGACTGGATCATTCCCGGTTTTAATCCAGCATGATCGGTTTTAATCCAGCATGCGGGAGGAATCGGGATGTGGTGCTTAACTAGACGAACGGGGGTTTGTTCCGCCATATCTCTGCACTCACACGAGACTGACAGACGAAAATCTGAGCAAATACCTTGAGAGTCTGTGTCAGTGATATAAATCCAGATTTCAACAATCTTGTATTAAAAGTTCGAGCTCAGAACTGACAGTAATCTGCTGTTGTTTTTTGTAGTGGACGAACAACCTGATAAAAACTTGTCTGTTTTTATGCGTTTTTGCGTCTTATGCAAATGCAAAACGCAAAATTTCGAGAGAATGCCTATGTGTGTGTGTGTGTGTTCAGAGGCGAGTCAGCTTTGTCACTCATTAAACTCAACAACGGGGAGAGCCATGATACAACACTACCGTCCCAGCCGACGCCCTTTTCCCTTTACATGCAAGAAAAGACTAAAACACAGGCGCACGAGTTACATACGTTAAACGTAGAGCAACGACCATTCATATTGTTAACCATCTGGTCAACGCAAAAACGCATGATCGTACGGGCAAACCTGGTGCGTTGCTACCTGGATTTTATTGAAAAGTGGCCCATGCGCTTAAGTAAGTGTATAAATCAGGCCCGCGTCTCGCGCCAATGGTTTTCTATCCCTGATGTGAAGGATCAAGAGAGGAGGAGATAAGAGTTGTCAAAACCATTTTTTTTTTTCATTGCGTACCACTTTAGCGCAAATTTAATCGCTAGGTTACTGCACTCCGTTGATTTCCTTGCTTCGCAATTAACACGTAACACATGAATTGTTGAGACTTTTACGTAGCTTGAAGATAGGATTAGACTGCATCCTTTAGTACTTCAGCATTTTTCCGTACTGAAGGGCTGATTCATCGTTCGTTCTCTACCTGCCTCTGTCTAATGTTGACTGGTGTCTTGTTCGTTGAATGTTTGTGGATCTGGAGTCTTAGTTATCTATCGCAGAATCTGAAGTTTCGTGCCAAAAGAACAATTGTCTTAGCGATGGACTACAAAAAGCACACGCACATATATGCAGCTTACTTTCTTCCTTTCCAGTTGTTTCTTCTGGAGGTGTATTACTGTAAGTTGCTGATGTGCTAAGGTGCAGTGGTGTAGTAGTCTGTTATAGGCTCAACTCCTGCCTCACGGTTTCCCGCAGTTGTGTTCGAAGCACTTTTGATTTTCCTGTTCGGTTTTGCACGTTGTTCTTTCGGCTATTACATCAACTCTCAACGACTTCAGTTTCATTCCTCTCGAGACTGCCTTTTTGAAGAGTTTTTAGTTTGCTATAGTTATAACTGGCGCTACGATGCGTTCCGGAATTAATGAGACCGACTGTCGGTTTTAACGAATCAATTTTAGCGACTTTTTCGGTTCTGCATAGGAAGCTCAAATTTGATTATTCCTCCACACCCGCTGTGGATAGAAACAGAAGCAATTCGTTGAAGCTCTGACATGGTTGCATGTGCGCCTGTCGAGAGAAGTGTCACGCAGATATGATATTCCTTGACCGGAACAATGCTGCCTGGCAAGCGACATCCGTTTTCATATTTCGCCGCTTCTGCGGGGAATTTAGCACCTAGAGTTCCGGCTTACTTCATCACTCTTTAGTTTCCTTCAAGCGCGGATTGCACCTTCACAGTTTTTCCTCTTTAAAGATTATACTCGAAGGCAGCAACACTAACAGCTACTGTCTTCCCTTAATTCCAGGGATTTTTATTCGATAACAGAGGATGAGAAGACAGCGTGAGGAAGGAAGCAGAGGTGAGGAGCGGGTTATAACTCGCAGCGAGATCTGAGTTTTAGGGTAAAATTCATTCTTGGTTTGTAATTACCATCCTACCGAAGCGAAATAAGTGAGGGAAATAGATTAGTCACGAGTCATAATTGAGAACTTTTGAAGCTGTTCTTAATGATGACTCACAGTTACTCTATTTCCCTCAACTGTTCTTCACTCATTTCGTTAAAATGCGCAAGGAGCAGTGCTTTTTTGTTCAAATGCATTGTTTTACTGTAAAACTGAAAATCACATAGTCCACTTTATTAGATGAAAAATCAAAATCAATCAGAGGGGAAGGTTAAGTCAGTCGCAACTCATTTTGCTGATTTCTTCCGGTGGCAGGCTGGTACTGCCGTTCTCGAACGTGTTAGGAGATATTCTCATCTCTCGTCGGCTGTTTTCGACTGTTTACATTGTCTCCGTTTTACCAGTAGAGAACGCTTACACTCTCGATTATCCTCCACTACAGCTGATTTTTCGGGCTGTGGCTGATTACTGATAGAAGCACTGCTATTCAGCCACAGATAAATTTCCCATTTTTCCTCTCTTCGATTCTTGTAAGAAACATTCTCTTTTACTACTCTGGTTTTATAAATTATTCAAATGTACATTCTACACAGGGCAACTAAGAGGCCCACTACCACCTGCATATTAGAGCTTTATTCGTGTTTACGGCTAAGGTGGTAAAACACAGACTGCTTCCAGACATCTGTCTAAAATATGATTTGTAATCCCATACTTTTTTCCTTGGGAAGTGAAATACTGGGGAGAGTATATGGTAACTGAATACTTTTTTTTTTTGAAAAGAAACTGGTGTGGAGAAGTTTACACAAGTTGCAGAATGCAGTGAGTTTTATGGATTTGGCTGTTGGTAAGCACATTATGTCGTTGTATGAAGGGAACATGGCTTGTTTACGTAAGCACCCTGAAACAAGCTGGTAGCGTGGTTAAGCAACATATTATACAACACGAGAGCAGCAGCAACATCATGATAAATTATGTTTAGCAGAGGAAAGGCAGCACAACTGACAGTTCGAAAAAATGAACTGATTTTTGAACATGGAGGCGTTTGAGTTGCTTGCTCCTGCAGGCCAGCAGCATACACCGATCTTTTTGCCATTCTCCCAGTCGTCGACGAGGACGCCGTCTGCCGGGGAAACGGTCAAACAAGTTCTCATTTTAAAAAATTTCATTTTCCAGTTGTAGCTCTCTTCGCCCACACGTCTATTCCAGCCGGATCCCTCCCTCGTACCCCCATGCTTCATTGTGTTTCATCTGAACTTATCGCCAGCACTTTGCTGCACTCATTTACAACGTTTTCATTTGCTATCGTCACTACTAATTTATCATGAAAAATAATTCACAAATCTTTTCCTTCGCGATATATCGTTATCATTCTGGACAGCGAAATAAATGAATTCCTTGTGAATGTTTCTTTTTCCGGTATTTCCTTTCTGTTTTAGAAGTTTCGAAAAAAAAATGTCTGACTGACGCTGTCCATTTGTCCTTCTATATCCGCTTGAATCACATCTAAAGCCGAGGTCTAAAACTACAATCCGAGTCCTACTGCAATATTTCCTTCTGCTTTCATAGCTGGCACTTTTTGGCCGTTTCCTCGTTGTTCAGTTCCCGAATTGCTATCAGAATCATGATTCTCTATTCAAAATAAGGATTCTAAATTTTTACTCTGTTTACGCCCTGCACCAAATATGAAACGAAAAAATGTAAATATTTTCCGAGGCATCAATGAAATGAATTGGCGACATTTCTTTTTCTAAACACTCTTTAGTACCGCTTCAGTTGTTTTTCAACGGATGAGGGTTAAGGGGGAGAGCTAACTTAGGTTTGAGCTAACTTAGCTAGCTTGAGTGACAATTTTAAATACTTTCGTTAGGTTAGAAATGAAATCCATAAAGTTTTTGCTTCTCAGTTTCCATGTTCACTCAAACTTGTGAACAAATACAAATATACATACTTACGCTTTAATGTCATCATGTAAATACTCATAATACAATGCATTTTTGTGCTGCAAGCAGGAAGCCGACAGACAAAAATCACCTTAGTTCCATGAATGATTAGCACTGTTAACGAGCGAGCAGCGCATCTTTGTGTATCTTTTGAAACTCGTAGCCTCATATTCTACGTTTTCAAGGTGTGAAATCATTGGCGAGCGAGCGTGAGACTCGGCAAGTGCGAAGTGTTAAAGTGATAAACTGTTTGGCTCTGATATGAACTGTTGATTGAATGCACGAGAAATGTAAATAATGAGTACACTGTGCCAAAAAACCCTCTGATCAAGTGCTTTGGATTAGTTATTGCAACTGTTTCAGGATGGATGATGGCGCATCGCCTTCCAAAAGGCCCTATATTCGACTTACCTCATTCCTCAGCAATGTAACCAAAAATGCCGGTGAGGAAGTGCGATTCAAATGTGAAGCTGCCGGTAGTCCACTTCCTCTTCAGTTCAGGTAACTCATTTCGGTTGTTTTCAGTTGCATGTGTGTTTTCCCATAACTGTCATGCAGTACTGATGTCAGTTTGAAAACGTACCAGTATGTCATTTATCATCCATTATATCTTCTACCCGCCATCAGTTTGCTTGGAAACAACTTTCGAAAGAAGGAGCCATCGACAGTCGTAGCAGCAGTGGATGATTGCTGTTAGCATCTGCTACCACTCGAGTTGATGCCTTTGCTTCTAAGTAAGAGCAAACACGGAGGAGGGTTTTGACTTTTGACTAAATTTATTGCGTGAAACGCTAGAAAACTATCCAGCGCTTAAGACAAGTGCTTCGGCGAATTAAGCTTCATACTATAGATTTTGCGTTGCAGTTCCAATTTACGACTTGTTTATTTTGTAAAAAGAAAAAAAAAAGTTTTAACGGAAAAATCAGAATTAAGGACTGAACTTCATAAAGAATTCGAAATCAGTTTTCTGAAATTTCGTTTTTAATTCCTTTGAAAACAGCAATGCTCGATAATTTCAGCAACTCTCTATGATTTCTGAGAACTGTGTATGAGGCACACAACTAACGATAAGCTAACTGTGATTATGCATCTTTGCAATCACTTGTACCTAAAGTGATAAAATAAATTAAATGAGCTGGAACATGCTGAGGCACTTGCCCCAGTGTAACATAATTTTTCCAAGCATCCTTCGGTCCCGCTAGCCATCTTTTGCAAATTTTTCGCGAAAAGGGACAGACCAGATTATTATAATAATCATCGTTATTCTGAAATGCTGTGCAGTTCGTAGCATTCACTTACTGACCTTGCCATCTGTTCAAGGCTCTTTTACGCGGTCTCTTCTGTTGACGATCAAGGCATCATCTGTGGATACTGCTGTGAAGGGTGCCCAGACATCCACATTCATATAAACATGAAGAAAGTTGACTTCACTATGTGCATAGCTTATAATATAAATTGTCGCAAATAGGAAAAATTATCAACAATGTTTTTAGCTGGCTGAAGAACCATGCACCTGTTGAAAAAAATCGTAAAACAAAAGTTAAAAATCGTGAATACTGGTCGCGCTTGGTAATCACCGATTTGGAGGTTCTCGACAGTGGATATTACCAGTGCGTTGTGAGCAATTCGGTGGCCAGTGTCAATACCACTGCTATTCTCAGGGTTTGTCTATCCCATTGCTTTTTTTTTTCACAGTGCACTACTCCACTTGAAAAAATATTTCAAAGTAAAATTTATTTGGGTGCATTGCCCTGAAATTAATGAGCAGCTGCTCTTGCCGTAATATCTTTGCACTCTGATTCTACTAATGAAAAGAAGATACTGCCTAAGTGAAAATGTTTTAATTAATGGTTACGGGCACCGAACTTATTTGAGCTTCAACGACCCAGTTCCACACTGTGTGCATAAAGAGTTCATTTTTCGTGACAATGAAAGATGATACTTACATTATTGTCAAAACTTTCTAAATGGAGCAAAAAAAGCGCGCAATATGACTTTATTTTCCCATTTGAGTTGGAAAGTATTAAACTGGACTTAAAGATGATAAATTGAATTGAAAGATGCTAATTCTGCGCACCGAGATGACTCAGAATGCAATTACACATAAATATTGTTACGCTCGGCACACACTTGTGTCCTGACATGGGATCCCTACCGAGTTAACATGACCAATATTGTTGGTGCATAATTTGGCCAGTGTTTTTAGTACAGATACATACCAAGAATATTGGCCAGATTATCAGTATGTATATCTCATGTTGATATTCTTTATATAGTAGTAATATTCTTGGTGTTCATGTTATGTACAAATATGCAGATCACAACCGAAGGACCTGCCATATCTGGCACATAGGAGTGTCTCAGTAAAATCACTGACAGAGCAGCCACGTGCGGATTTTCCTAGCAATCTTAGTACTTCTTGGTACTGTTGTTATATGCACATGATCAGGAATATCATTTTCATGCCTTTTTTCGCAGCTATGCAATGCAGAAAACGCATACTGACGAGAGTTTGTCTGTGTGTGTGTGTCTCTGTGTGCGCTGTGCGTCTGTACGATTTTTCATCTCGAGATCCGCAAAAGCTACAGGACTGAAACTTTGGGAACTTAATCTACATGCGTGTACGGGCCCTTAACTCCAAAATGGACGGTCTTACGCGCGTGATACTTACGTGTGGGCCCGTGAAAGTTTTTTGAGGATAAATCCCTGACTTGGAATCGAGAAAAGCTGAAATCTTAAAGAATTGTCCCCTATCCAATCGTACGTCTTAATGAGCTTCAAACCAGTCTCCGAGTACGCTTGGTGCCCACGTACGGGCTCGTTTTTTCCGCATAAGTTGCTAATTCGAGAACCTGAAAATCTAGAAGACTGTAATTTTAAACGGGTGTTCCCCGTCCGAGTAAATATAAATATGTTTAAACCCAGCCCTCGGATTTGCGTGGTACCCACGCACGGAGACGGCAAAGTTTTTTCGGGCAAATTCCTAACTCGAAAACCTGAAAAGCTAGAAGACTGGAATTTTAAGGGGGTGTCCTCATCCATGTAGGTATTAATGAGCTCAAACCCAGCCTCCGGTTATGCGTCGTTTCCACGTACGGGCCCGTGAAATTTTTTTTCGGGAGGGCTGCTAACTCGGGAACCTGAGAAGCTAGAGGATTGGAATTTTAAGGAGATGTTTCCCATCTCAGTGAATGTTAGTGAGCTCAAACCCAGCCCTCGGGTATGCGTAGTACCAACGTATGGACCCGCCAAGGTTTTTTCGGGTAAGTTGCTAACTCGGAGAACTGAAAAGTTAGAAAGCTGAGATTTTAAGGGGGTGTTTCCTGACAGTTCTGGTGGCCAGTTTTAATTTGTTTAGCTAGAAGCATTTGCCGAAAAAACCGATGCCAGTAGCGGCAAAAACTGCGGGAAACTATGCAAAAAACGCATCTTCGCACGGGCAGCCCGTGCGTTAGCCATTTATTCTGTTACTGTGCAAGCGAGTGAAAACGGCATTGCTGAATGCTGACGAATCACTTTTAATAGGCAAATTCATCCCTAGTACTATGAAAGTGAGCACTAAATTTGACCAGTAAGACGTAAAAAAAAGTGATTTTCGCTGATCTGTTAGCTGGTGCTGCACATAAATTCTTGCAGTGCCCATACCGGTGACTTATATTGATTGTTGTCGTATGAGTAGAAAGTGTGTGTTAAAGTAGAATCCATATCCTTGTTCACTACTACGTTATCTTCGTCAAGAGTTACGCACAAAAAAGCCAGAATATAGAGGAGAAAAATTTAGCATGGAAAGTCATTTCATTGGCTAAACTGGTACAAAATTCGCAAATGATACTAAATGACATCGACGCGCATAGTCGATTTCACCAATTGTTCATATTTCTTTTTCAAAATAACAGCTCCTAGCTGTTTTTTTCTTTTGAAAGTAGCTAATCTTATTGTTCTCCTTGAAATGAGAGGGAAGCACACTTCTGCACTATCTCTTCGAAACAGCTTTCCGAAAGCAGCAAATTTTATGGCGAATTCCTGAAGGCCTTTCGAAAACATTTGATGATTAGTCATTCGCACTAGCATCATTCTAAAGCACACATCCATTTGGGCCTGGTAATGTCATAAATCCCCAATTAGGCCTGCAGAACTGGTCGAATGGAATCGCTAATTAAATTCGTGACCAAACTGCATTTGTTCTTGCAGTTCCTTCGATGATTCATTCACTCAGTCTCTTTCTTGCTATACACTGGTCGGCTTAATTCTCGACCAGTTTGCCAGTTTGCTAAAAGTATTATCATCGGCATATAAGCTTATTCCAGCGCACAACATAAGTATGCGAATGTGCGAAAAGAGCGGGGACGGGTGAAATGAATGCAAGATTAAAGTAGAAAATCAACCAAAAAAGGAGTTAAGCAGAGAATTCGTAGAAACCTCTCCCGGAGCAACGCAGACGAACATGTTTCACATGTTGACTTTCCACTGTGATTGGACTCCATCAGATAAGGAAAAGAAAACAGAATAAATACAGCTGACAGTTGTTGAAAAGAGAACATTCTGGGGAAGTTGATCAGTTCTTAGCTCGTTAGCTCCAGCGAGTTTTTAAAAATTGCATTTCCGTTTGTTACCGTCAAGTCTTATTCAAATAAATAGGAGACTTGAATCAACTAGTCGGAACGCATACAAGTCTTGCATAGTTTTGTCCAAACGGACGCTTGCTGTTAATAACGTTCATTGCTTTACCATGTGCACTTATCATCGAAATGTTCTGATTTTTTAACGTCATGTACTACCCATGTTCAAACAAAAATGTTTGCGGCTTTCATTATCATCGTGCTGTGTGAGAACTTGATTTTAATTTTAAACGCGAGTCGTAGACGTGCGTAGAAGCTGTTTTTATACGGGTACACGTGACCAGGCAGTGAGGTTTCCAGTGCAAATAAACCGTCCTTGCATTGTAAGTGCAGTGCTATTAGGGAAGTATGAGCAGTAAATATAAATGTGTTAAAATGTTACAATGCAAGAACTGAAAATTTGTGATAGTGCTGATCAGCTGTTCTCTCTCCTTCCTTGGTAAGCAGCTTTAGCTGTTTGTTGGACGTCTTCCCTGTGCTTCTTGCTGTACTCCACGATTGATGGGTGAGTAGAAAGGGGTTACAATGTACCACTTCTTGGTAAAAGAATGGACGAGCCGCGGGATCCACCCGACTGACCGTATCAAAGGGAGAGTCAAGTAAACAAAGAGTTCTGCTGCACAGCGCCTGTCGGTTACAGCGATTCGATAACTCTAATCTCTTCGCAGCTGTGTTTTTCTTGTTGTCTTTTGTTTCTTCAAGCCTCCAAGATTTTACTGTTTTTCTTTTTTATAGCTTCTTGTTTTTAAGTTGTAACTGGTAAGTGTAAGTTCGGAGCGAATTAAGTAGCGGTATGCACCAAAGGGCTTCAGAGGACCATAATCGACGAATTTGAAATATTCGATAGAAAATAAACATTCACACATACTTTACGAGAGAATGGGAAGGCGAAGGGATGGGGCGGAAAGATCTTGAAAGTAAGCGTCTTTTTTTGGCGTGAAAACCAGAAATAGGTGCCTTGCTTCACACCTCCATTAAGTTTGGTTCATTTAAGTGCTTGCGGGCTCGTGGCCATAACGGAGGCATAGCTGCAGCCACAGATTAGAGCTTTGGTGTTCTAAGGTTTACTGCGAACTGTTATACAGAAATCGCGCCTTTGAACATTCTATTTTCTAGACTACTGAGCCTGTCATTTTAAACTGCGCGTCACTTGATGCTGTGACGGTCCATTTTGGCTTCTTTGGCTTTCGCGACCCACCTTGAAATCTTTGTGCGTGAACTCAACTTTTTAAATTGCCGGAATGATAACAGTCTATACTTGTAATCTGTGTCTTAAGCTTCTGTTTGCACTGACATCATTCGTGTGCTTCCAGATACTGCATACACAAGTCAGGCGAATGCTACAGCAATTGCGTATAAGCAAAGCGCCAGATAATTTGAGCTAACTTGGAACATCGTGTGCATGGATCAGCGTGCGTGTGCGTGTTTGTTGTTTAATCTGCTCTCTTCATTTGTTTCTGTTTATCTTGTCCGAATTCCTTTCGTAATTAACCATCATTTACTTTATCTGACCCGATGTGAGTTCTCGGGAAGCATCTACGAATCCGTCTACAATACAGAAATGCCCCCTACAGCAGACAATCTTGCCACATCTTCTTCCCTAGCAAATCCGTGATCTTTCTATAATAATTTTTTTTTGCAAAGAAGTGAGCTTTTCTTCCTATGAATTCATCCAGACAATAAATAAATCAGCTTTTGATTTATCCATATGTTATTTTTTGCAGCTCGTTCGAAAAATGCCCGGAGTAATCGCATTGGGTTTTATAAGCAGAAAAGCTACGGTGAAAAATGCAGAGGATTGTTAAATTCGCACGTCACGTTTTCGCTTGCAACCACTCTAGTTGCTGATGTGGTTTACAAATCAGGGAAAGGAGTAAATAGAGATTTTAATTATGATATAAATGTAAAATTATATGAATTGGAATGTTTCGTTCCATTAGGCCGTAGACATTCCGTATTCGGCAGCACAAGTGGACCTTGCCAGCGTTGCTAAAACAAGCATCCGTAGCAGGTCTGTGTTTTCAAGAAAAAGATCCCTGTGTGGTATTTGGTTGCCTTCTAACGACCGAAAAAATCTTAAAGAAAGAATAGTAGTAAGACCACGTTTAAGAGCAATTTTGAAAAGCGTTTCGAGAGCCGTCTTTCAAAATGCTTTGTGGTTTTCAACAAAGTTGGAAAAATTTGCTCCGTTTTTCACCTACCGTAAAGATTTTTTTTTTTGCGCCTCAATTATAAACAAGAATCGTAACTGCTCTAAAATCTGGATCGTAGATAATCCGGAATCTGGGCCGATGCATGTACATGTTATCACTGTTTAGTTCTAAAAAATCATGCCAGAGTTACCAAAACCGTCCCGTCCTTCACTGTGTAGGCACCCAATTATAAGTGATGTTACTGGAATGTTCCTAGAACCCAGGCGCAGCAATACCAGATCTTCAATCCTGGGTTGCATACCTGCAGTTAGTATTCGTTGCTTGTTCGACATTTTATTTTGCGTCACTCCTTCGGGATTCAGCCCGAGTGGTCGTTCACTTTCTCTCGGCTACCACTGACAGTACTCAGTAGCCATCGGTTGTCGGTAAAACAAGCAACGTGCCCTATCCATTGAATTTTATTTTCTCGTAAGGTCATAATACGCCGCTCATCTTACGAAGAGTCAGAATCACAGTCACGTCAAGTGTTTGGGCGTTTATGAGGAAAGTGAAAAGCTGTGCACCATTAACATTGCTCCGTA